GCATCTTGGCAATGTTTCGACAAGGTCCCACTCGCCATCTTCAGGCTGGTGCTTCCAGGTCATCATACAGTCCATGACCCAGGTCATTACGACCCAGGAGATTACAGCACAAGACACAGGATGTCAAAACAATAGAACTCAAAAGGTCATCACACAGCCCATTACCCAGGTCGTTACAACACAAGAGGCTGATAGACACACAGCCAATACCTCAGTCACACATGTTCTTACGAAAAAGCCAGCCAATCTGCAAATATCAACTCCATCAACCAATCAAGAAATGACAACACAGCCGACCAGACCCTGGAGGGCGGAGCTGGCGTCACGACGATACGGCATGCGATCTTGGAGGTCTGAGATATCTTTGCTCCTGGACGGTCCATTTGGATCTAAACCGTCCCGAAGAGATGGTGAATGCAAAGAGCGCATCCTGTCGATCCCAGGGATACCGCAAAGTCCCTGGTAGATCCAGAAGCTCTTTTTGCCAGCGGCAAAGAGGCAGCCACTAAAGCTGCTGAAGTTGGGACAGCTCCGAAACGAAAGAGAACAGAAAGAGAAAGTGTGCCGGTTTGGTGAGAACTTTTTCTTTATTTTAAGATTTGAAAGGACACCCTAAGGAAAAGAAAGAATCTGTAAAAGTTTTGACAGAAGTGATTAAGCGGCGATTTTAAACAGGAATGTCAAAATAATATTTTTTTTCTTATTGCTGGATTTTCTACATACGATTTTATATTTTGAAACTGGACTGTTTTTTCTTCTTCTTCTTCCACTTACTCTTTCTCTTCTTTTTGATTTTATAATATTTTAGGCTAGAGACTCCCTTTTAGTTATCTTTTTTAATATCTTTTTCCCTTCTTAATTAATTTTCATTATATTTTGTTTGGAAAAGGAGGGGGGAAATGAAAGCAAAAGAAACTCCGTAACACTGCCAACTAGAGGCCTGGAAATATTTTATTTCTTTTTCTTAACCAGACAAAGCTGAGAAAGAACTGAGACTTCTTTTCAAGGACATCGCCTGCTTGATAAGATAGAGGGAAGAGCATGGGAGAGCATTATTGCAGATGCTCTTCTGGATTTCTATCAACAGCTGGAGTCTGGTGTTGAAGCTTATCGGGGGAAAAAAAGTGATAAGATTCTGAAGAAGAGAGTTATAAATCTTAACAAAAGCCTTGGACAATTTAACAAAGTGCAGTGTGCTCTTTTTATCCTTTTTTTAAGCTGGGCTATTTCTTACTTTAACAAACCCCCTCCTTTCTAGTTTACTTTTCGTAATAACTATTTGGATTTTTGGCCTTTTGGAACTTGATTTTTGTCTTTCCTTTTGTCTTTTGAAGTCAAATTTTTATGTTTGCATTTTATTTTAAAGGAAAAGCTTCAGTATTTGATTTCCCTCATTTTTTTTTTAAAGGGAGTAGTCTCTTTTCTTTTTTCTCTCTCCCTCCCTTGTATTTTTTTTTCTATTTACCTTACATATTCGTGTTTTCTTTATTTTTGTGGCTTTCTTTTTTTTCTTATGCATCCTTTTATACCTGAGACCTCTTAATTGGATTAAAGCGTTCAAGAACGTGAAGAACTTTTCTTTTCTCCTTTTTAGTTTTTTACCTTTTACTTTTCCGCCTTTTTTTTTCTTTTTTGTGTTTATGCTCTTTTCTTCCATTTTTGAGTTTTTACTGCTATCTAACCAATCGATTGGATTAAGGTATACAAGAACCTGAAGAATTTTTTTTTTTATTATTATTATTGCTACTATTTGGTTTCTTTTTTCCCACTATTTTTATTTGGAATTGCAATTGGTTATTTCACAAGTGGATTAAGGTCTAGAAGAACCTGAAGATTTTGAATTGTCTGAAATGAGTAGGAAACTAACAGCCCCTGGTTCCTCAACTTCTACTTCTTCCTCTTCACCATCGGGAGGACAACGTTCAATACAGACAATGTTACAGCAAGAAAAAGAACAGGAAAAAGTGACCCTGCAGATGATTATGCAAGGACTTCAAAATATACAAATAAGAACAGAGAATATCAAAAAGAGAACAGAGAACATTGAACAAACAACAGGGAAAACTGATGAAAAAGTGGAGAACATTCAACAAATGATGATGAAGTATGATGAGAGATTCCAAAAAAATGAAGAAGATAAACAAAGAGATAAGAAGATTGGAGACATTGATAGCAGATTAACTGTGGTTGAACAAGATAAAAGTGGGATGCTGAGATGGGAGATGGACAGATCAGAATTTTATCTTAGATTCCAAAATATAGAGGAAGAAAAAGGGACAAAATCTAGCTGAGATAATGATAGAAATATTGGCTGAAGCCTTGGAAATAACTGAAGAGAAGATGATGGATGGAATAGATGAGGTCTATCGAGTCTTCACAAGATATGCAATGAGAAATAGCTTACTAAGAGAAGTTCACATTAGATTTACAAAGAAAGCCATTAAAACGCAAATACTGCAAGTGGCAAGAGAGAAAACATTGAAATATAAAGACAAGGAGATTGCAGTTCTAAAACAAGTACCCAGAAGAGTGAGAGAGATGAGAAGAGAATACCGATTTCTGACCAAAATGTTACTTAAAAAAGAGGTGAATTATAGATGGCTGATTCCAGAAGGTTTAATGTTCACATGGCAAGAACAGAGACACAGAATTGACTCAATTGAGAAAGCTGAATCATTTTACACAGAATTTTTTGGAGGGAAAGAGGAAGAGGCAGAAAAAAAAATCTCACTAATTGAATTCCAAGAGGACTGCCAAATGGCGATTGAAAAAGAAGAAAGTGCAGCAGGTGGAAAGGTGGAAGCCAAAGAACAACGTGAACCAAGATCTACGAGAGCTGCTAAACCTAACTACAAAATATAACCATGGACGAGAAAAAACTGATTACAATTAATATAAATGGACTTAATTCAAATGTTATAAGGAAAACTTTCCATAAATTAGAGAAATTAAAATTTGATATAATCTGCCTACAAGAAGTACATATCAAAAAGCAACATGAACAATTGTTGATACAGCCAAAATTAGGGAAAATATTTACTTCTTTGACACATTGCAAGAAAAGAGGAGTGGCTTTATATATTATCCCAGCGAAATTAATGTATACTGATGACGATGGAAGAATACTAATGGTGGAAATAATGGACAATAGTATAAAAACACTCCTGATTGCAATCTATGCCCCGAATGACAAAAGAAGAATTTTATAGAAAATTACATATGAAAATAATTGAACTGGACTATGCTAATATAGTTATGATGGGAGACTTTAATGGAATTGTAGATAATAAATTGGACTATACAGCACAGAAAACAACAAAGCAAAACAGACAGACTCTCCTTAAATCTTTTTTTTAAATGATAGATGAAATAAATTTAAAAGATACATGGAGAGAAAGAAATGCTAAGACTAAACAATACACCTTCTATTCAAACAGACATTTATCATGGTCCAGAATAGATATGATATGGATGTCAACAGAATTGTTAGCTAATATTCAAGAAATAAATATTGAAACAAGTACTTGGGCAGATCACAATCCAATGACAATTAAACGGAAAGGACAAAGAAGAAGATCTAGATGGACGTTAAATAATACTATATTAAAGGAAAAAGACTTCATACAGTGGATGAAGAAAGAATTGGCTTTCTTCTTTAGAGAAAACAAAAAAGAAGATACATCAATGCAGAACATATGGGATACAATGAAGACATATGCCAGAGGCTTGATAATAGACTATACAAGGAAAAGAAATACCATGAAAAGACTAGCCTCTAAGGCATTAGAGCAGGGGTGGGCAAACTTTTTGGCTCGGGGGCCGCATTGACTTTTAAAATTTGACAGACGGGCCGGGTCAGCACAAGACTTTTTGGGAATCGCCCCCCCATCCTTCCCCCCCTCTTCTCCTCCTTCCCCTCCCCTCGGAGGCCCCCTGAGTCAGGAGCTGCTACCGCCGGCGCGGCTCCGCGCAGCTCCAGTCCCGCATTGCCTCGGGAAAGGCAAAAAGGAAGAGCCGCGGTGGTGCTTTGCAACGGGAGCAGCGGCACTGGAGGCTCAGGCTCAGCGGCTCCTGGTTTTGCCTTTTCCTTCCCAAGGCAACGCGGGACTGGAGCCGCGTGGAGCTGCGCCAGCGGTAGCAACTCCTGACAGCCCCAGCCGGACACCTGAGTGGAGCCCGGGCGGAACTGCCTGTTGCTGCTGCCGGAGCATCGCCGGGTCGCCTCCTCCAAGCAGCCCGCCCGCCCGCCGGGCTTCCCCTCCACCGCGCGGCTCGGGGCCAGGCACGAGCACCCGCGAGTTAAAAGGAAGCCGCAAGTTGCTGGGAAGTTGCTCGGGTGCTGGGAGCAGGCTTTTAAAGTGCCGCCCGAGCAAAGTTTAAGCAGCCCGCCCGCCGGGTGGAACCCTTCCCGCTCCTCGGCGGGAAGACGCTCCAGCCTGCAAACTTTGCCTTTGCAAAGTTTAAGCCTGGAAGCCCCGGAAAAAAAAGGGGGATCGGCGGGGACTCACCTTCGGAGAGGTCTCACTCGAAGGTGATTTCGAGCTCCCAGCCGAGGCCTTTGCAAAGTTCTTTTCTTTCCTACCCCGAGAGCGCTCCGCACTGTTTTGCAGCTTTGGGGGCCACGCGGCACAGGGCAATACACCACGCCCAGCGATTTTTTTTCAGGGGCGGGCCGGATTGGACAGACCAACGGGCCGGGTGTGGCCCGCGGGCCGTAGTTTGCCCACCCCTGCATTAGAGGATGAGTATAAAGGACTTGAAAAAGAGCTACAGAAAAAGGACATTAAGTTAAAAATGGATATAATTAAACATAAAATGGGACTAATGGAAAAAGAAGAACTAGCACAGAAAATCAGAGGTGCGAAACAGAACTATTTTGAAGATGCAAATAAACCAGGTAGATGGTTAGCATATAAATTGAGAAAGGAGAAGGAATCAAGGAAAATATTGCAGTTAATAGATGACCAAGGCCAAGTTTGCTATGAGAGTAAAGACAAGAAGGAAATTATACGAGACTATTATGGGAAACTATACACATAAGAGAATATTGATGAGGAAAGAGCTAAACAGTACTTACAGAATGCTAATCTACCCCAGATACCTAAAGAGATTGAAACAATGTTAGAAAGCAATATAAAGATGATGGAGTTAACTGAAGCACTTAAGAAGCAAAACAATGGAAAGGCATCAGGCCCAGATGGACTTCTGGCAGAATTTTATAAAACACTACAAGAATCGTTGAACCTTCCATTGCTAGAAGTTATGAATGAAGTTATGTTAAAGAAGAAGATACCCAAATCATGGTCAGAAGCTTATGTTACATTTGCCCCAAAAAAGGAGGCCGATCCATTACAAATCAAGAACTATAGACCTATTTTCTTACTAAACACAGATTATAAAATTTTCTTCAATATTGGCAGAAAGACTTTAAAAATACCTACATAATTTTATCCACCCTGATCAAAATGGATTTCTGCCAAAGAGACAAATAAAAGACAATATGAGAGTAATCTTATGAGAGTAATCAATTATGAGAGTAATCTTGGACACTTTGGAATATTACGAGGCACACCCTGAAAAACAAATGGCTTTGATATTTTTAAATGCACAGAAGGCATTTGATAATGTGAATTGGCGATTCATGTTACTAGAGTTGGAACAGATGGGCTTTGGTAAAAAATTTATCCAAGCAATAGAAGCTATATATCATAACCAAACGGCAAAGGTAACAATAGAGGGAGAACTGACAGACTCTATTGATATAAGAAAAGGAACAAGACAAGGGTGCCCACTGTCACCTTTGTTATTTGTGTTAACCTTGGAAGTGTTAAACAGAAATATTAGAGAAGAAAGGGATATAAAAGGGATGAAAATTAAAAAGGAAGAATTTAAGTTGCAAGCATACGCAGATGATCTGGTTTTCATTTTAGAAGACCCACTAGAAATAGCATCAAAATTGATAGAAAAGATAGAGGTATATGGAAAGGTGGCTGGTTTGAAAATAAATAAAGATAAGACAAAGATCTTGACAAAGAATATGCTATCAAGCCAAAAGGAAGAACTGACAGATCTATTGAAAATTCAGGTCACGAATAAGATTAAGTACTTGGGGATACATTTGACAGCAAGATGTAGTACACTAAAAGTGAATAACTATATTAAACTTAAGCAGCAGATAGCGTTAGATTTGGCGAAACAGGAAAATTTACAGCTGTCATTAATAGGGAGAATATCAACAATCAAGATGAATATATTACCCAGAATTTTATATTTGTTCCAAACAATTCCAATTAGGCTTGGAAAAGATTACTTTGAAGATTTAAACAAAATTGTGTTGAAATATATATGGTAAGGTAAGAAAGCGAGAATAAAGCTAAAACTTTTGCAAGATGCTAGAATATGAGGAGGATTTGGTTTGCCTAATTGGGAATTGTATTACCAAGCTACAAATTTGATGTGGGTTAAGGAATGGATACCATTAAGAAATACTAGATTGTTGACATTAGAAGGACATGATCTGCTGTTGGGGTGGCATGCTTTTCTGTGGTATAAAGGAACTAAACCACAGGGGTATTTTAGAAGACATTATATACGGGAGTCTCTGTGGTTAAACTGGGAGAAGACTAAAAGACAATGTTATTTGAAAATTCCAGTCTGGCTATCGACTATTGAAGCATTTTCTTATCCTATAACGTATAAAAAGGAACAGTTAGATATGTTGAAATATTGAATGAAAAGGGTGAACTTAAATCTATACAAAAATTAGAGGAACAAGGTATAAAGATGAATTGGTTTTCATATGCGCAAATACATTCAAGGTATGATAAAGATTCTAAAACAGAAGGTTTCTATGATAAACTGACTGACTTAGATAAGATTTTGACAGGTACTGATGAAAAGGTGATTAAAAAATTGTATGGATATTTATTAGAAATTAAACTAGAAGAAGAACAAGTTAAAGAAACTATGATTGCTTGGGGGAAGAATTTTGGATATGGGATTGATCTAGAGAAATGGCAAAAAGTGTGGTCTCAAAATTATAAAATGACAGCATATAAAGAAAATTTTAGTAAGATGTTTTACAGGTGGCATTTTCCCCCGACAAGAATAGCAAGAATGTTCAAGAACAAATCTGAAAAATGTTAGAAATGTCATCAGATTCCTGGCTCATATTACCATATGTGGTGGACTTGTGCGGATATTAAAAAATATTGGACTAAAATCCACACGTGGTTGGAAAAAATGACAAAAAAGCATATAGATTTGAAACTAGAGATATTTTTTATTGGGAATTTTACCTGAAATATATTGAAATTGAAATACCTGATTGTAAATGTATTAACAGCGGCAAGGATTGTATTTGCTAAAAATTGGAAAAATGAGAAAATACCATCACCGGAGGAAATCATTAAGAAAATATTGGAATGTGCTGAAATGAGTAGATTGAAATTTGAAATCAGAGAAAAAGATGATAAACAATTTTATAAAATTTGGGATCTATTCTATCAATGGTTAGACAATAAAACATGGTAATGAAATATGTAGTTTCTTAGGAAAATAATAAATATATAAAGAGGTTTTCTCTTCTTATTACATCTACAAAATGATTGTAGGATAGATTTGAGATGCTAATATGAACTGTCATGAAACAATTTAAGTTAAATATGATTATTTCGTAAAACATGAATGAATAAAAGTATGGTCAAATGATTAACAATGATATTAATGTATTTAATACTTGATTGAAAATATGAGAATATATACAATTGTAATTGAAGACTATGAAATGGAAGCACAAAACAATTTGTAAACCAACTGGCACACTGTATGTATATATAGGGAAGATGGCTTTATGTTTTTATGTTTTGTTTGTCTATGTTCGTTTTAAAAACCAATAAAAATTTAAAAAAAAAAAGAATTGACAACACAGCCAACCTCCCCACCAGTATATATAGGGAGACGGCAGCTCCGATCACACCTTGCTTGCACAAGCACGAAGCCGAAAGCACCAGCCTGAAGATGGCAGGTGGGACCTCGTTGAAACGTTGCCAAGATGCTCTCAATCTTACATGGGAAAAGACCCGAACACGCCACGTCATTATAGTTGTGCTTTTAAAGTTGTAGCAACGTTTCAGCAGAATCTCATCTGCCAATCTCATCTGGCTGATGAGATTCTGCCAAAACGTTGCTACAACTTTAAAAACACAACTATAATGACGTGGGAAAATACCCGAACAAAGCTGAATACCATACATTTATATATATATATATATATATGACTTCCCTTTTCTTTTTTCTTTCTATAATTCATAAAATTAATATCACCATTATTATCATCTTACCTGGGCCTTTGGATTGTGATTTAGCAGATCCAGAAATGGAGCTAGAGCATAAATATCTGGTTCTCTGGAAAAACAGTCTTTCTGTGAATGTTTCATAAACACTGTTCTTGTATTTATAGTGCACCAAGCCCACTGGAAAGCACTGAAGTTAAAAATAATCTCCACATCTTCAGAAAATAAAGGCTGCAAAGAAGAGAAAAATCGCTTTGAAGAAGCAAAAAGGTCCTGGATCAATGATCGTTGCTCGAGAGCCTTTCTTCTCAAGGGCTCAGGGAAAAGGTTCAGTGTTTCTTGTTCCAAATAAACAGGACAGGTATATGTTTCAGGTAAGAGATCCAGGTATGGTTTCCACACAGATTTCCTATGGAACCACTTCTCTGCTATTAAAAAGGAACATAATGCTATCACAGGAGAAATTGGAGGCTTCCATCTATTGAAAAGGCAAAGGGAAGCATAGTAACTACATTTTGATAATCACAGTTCTTAACCAAATTTCTGAGTTTTATCATTATACATGAAGTAAAATCAGAAAGCTCTCACCCACATGGTATGAAATTGAAAGAAGAACAGCTTGAAAATTAAATGAATGGAATATTGGGGTCAATGGTCTAATCATACAGCACCCAACCAGAGATGCCTGGGATGCCACAAGCCATGAGCTTAACAGAAGTTCTCCAATAATTAAGTAAATAGTCTCTGATAATGGAAGTAATGCATACTCTTTTAGACACTTAAGACTCTTACTAAAGATTCTTCCAGGTTGAGCTCCATTCCTAGCGATTTAATGGACATAACTGCAGAAGGCAGCTTTCCTGTCATAACATTCGGAGGTTTGCCACTCCTGGCCTTTTAGGGCTGAGAGAGAGTGACTAGTCACACAAGTGGTTTTATGCCTAAGGTGAGACTAGACTCTCCTAGTTTATAACCTGATGCTCTAATCCCTACACCAACCTCACCATTTAAAGTAATGTTTTTTCTGTCTTGAATTTCACACTATTTGCCTTCATTGGATGACTCTGCACTGTCTATTTTGACAAAAAGAGAAAAAAAAGCTCCATATCCATTGCTGTCATGTCTTGTATCAGTTTACCCATTCCTATCACATTCTGCTTATTCATCATTCTTCTAATCTAGAAAGCAACAAACACTGTAACCTTTCTGCCATAAATGTTTAACCATTTCAGTATCTTTTCCTCCATCTTTTTAGGTATACCAATTAGAAGATAGAGTAGTTCAATTTATTTAGTGACCATTTTCACTGTAGGTTTTCTACTTATTACATCATTTGACTTTCTTACATAAATACCATTTTAGTGCCCTGAGACACCGCTCACTGTTGATAAAATTATCACAAGGAATGACTGAAGCATGGGAAAGATATTCCCTGATGTTGCAGACAAAGTGTTAAGCCCTAATCTTGAGGAAATATGGGAACAGAAATATGTGCAGAGTTTATTTCTTTACATAGTACAAAGTACAACATATAGTACAAATAGATCTGTTTCTGTATAAAAAGAAAAGCGTACACAAAGCTTACATACAACAATATTCACAGATGGGAACAGAGAGCTCTCAGACTCCCAGAACATTCTGGCTCTGACTTAGAAGGTCATTCTTAAACAAAGGAAATATATAAACAGATTCTGATGTAAAAAAGCTATGCTATTATTCATCAAAAGATACAATGCTATCATTTGAGAACTGGAACTTTTTTTAACCACATGCACCACGGCTTTTCATAACAAAATATGTGCTGATCAGTTCAAAAATGCAAACATGCCTCTTATCCAGCAAACTACTGTGAATGCCCATTTTTGATGAAGAATTTGGATTCTCTATTTTTTTTTCTGACTTCAGAGTTTAATTCCTCACTTGCATGGGGATGGAATTTATAGGTGCGTATGATATCTGTGCAAAGAGATTACTAAATCAAGATAATGCTTTATTATACAATAAATATATCAGGGATTTTATTTGTTTTGAAGAAACACATGGCTAATTTGCAACTTATCTGGAAGATCTCTTATTTTATCCTTCTAAATCAATCACTCAACTACCTCTAATTCCCCAAACATTCTCTATTTTTTTAATCGTGAAGCTTAATTAATGACATCAATTCTAACAAAAATGCATACTGTACATAATTCCCCAATTGATCAATTTTGTTCAACGTAATGGAACTGTTCAGATTAGAAGTATAAGTTTAAGTGATAAGAGCTTTTGAAATGTCAATGTGCAAATTTGAGGATTTTATTAAGTGGTGACCAACTTACTTTAAAATGTATTCTCTGAGGTAACTGTTCAGCACAGTATTGGAAGTAAGCAAGCACTTTTCAGGCAAAGAAATAATCAATTCTTCAGCCTATGAAATGTTTAAAAAAAACAGAAGGAATATACTGGAAAAAAGTACTCAAATCATACTTTATTATGCACTAAAGTTAAAAAAAAAAAAAGAACACACTCGCTATATCCAACCAAGGCACTCTGCAATTAATTAATTAATTGCTACTTTTAAAATAAGCAGATTGCACATCAATTGCAGAGGAGGCACAAGTAAGGATTAGGTCATCTTATCTTTGATGATCCTTTGGAAATTCACTTTGGAAGCAACCCTGATCCCCACCAAAGACAGGCTAAGGAGAGTTAAGACAGAAGAGTACCATTCCTTGGCAGAAGCTCTAACAGTGTAATAACCCTGGTAATCCTGTGAGAAACTCTACAAGTGTGCACCTATTATTATATCTAACTCTCAAAAGTGAAATATACCAAAGAAAGTGAAAAAAATAGCTACGGAGTCAAAACATCCCAAATCCTTAATGTACCTAGATTGTACTGCAAATCTAGCACTAATTTACCACAGCACTAACTATAAATGAAGAGTAGAAGACAAAAAACATTCAGAAACATAAACTTTGCAATGAGAATAAAGTGCTTCACAAGTACATCTCCTGTTCTTGTAAATAACTGGATGGACACAGCAATGTATAGGTACAATGAAGTTCAGTTTACATTACAATAACACTGGGGATATTTTAAAAATTGCTGGGCCTACTCAAAACACTAAACCAAAATTCTATAATACCAAAACAAAAGCCATATCTAACCTGGTGTTGTTCAAATATGTTAGATTGGAGAATCTTCATCCTATCATCTGGCAATCACAGGAATTTAAATCCCAAACCAACCAGGTTTTGGAAACGTAACTACAACCACATAAATCCAGCCTACCCACAGTCTCTGGAGTCCCTGCTCATAAGCCCTTCATCAAAACCTAGATACTAGCCTAAACCACTAGTATTAAATATAATTTATAAATTCAGCATAAAGTCAGAAGGAAAAATTAAATAATATACATTACATGAAAATACAGAATAATATAATTTCTCATATCCTCATTATGGTTACATAGTTTCATCTGTTTATTCATAGAAGTACTCACAAACCTGAAGTGTTTTTGTGGTCATCAATCCCCTTCCTGTTTCTAGAAGATATAGGAGGAAGAGGAAGATGCAATTAAGTATAGTACTGTTGGTTTCTTAGACAGTTATAATAGACTACTTAACATAAAAATATGGAGTGACGAATATAGAAATTATTTAAGTCAAAACTTTTTTTTAATCTTGCAACCCCTTTTGGAAGCTTGAGAGGAAGTACTGTTGTAGTCCCCCGAGAAATACAATTATGTTGTCAATTTACAATCTTCATAATGATATATATAATTATATTCAATATAATTCAATAAAATTCAGCATAACACATAGACATATCCAAGGGCAGAAATCAAGTATGGGATCTGATCAAGCATTTTTTTGTATAGATTCAAGCATTGAGAAGATTTTTTAAATCCACAAATGAGATCCTTACAGCTACAAGTTAAGAACTTTGGTTTTAAAAAGGCTAACGCTGTGATGGTGAACCTATGGTATGCGTGCCAGAAGTGGCACACGCAGGCATCTCTGACGGCATGCAAGCCGTCACCTCAGATCAGGTACACTGCACATGTGCACATGCCTCTCGCCAGCCAGCTGATCGTCAGGTATCTGCCGTGCATGTGCAGAGGGCGGGTTGCGCAGGGGAGTAGCGTGCACATGCGCAGGGGGGTCACACGCGCATTGCATTATGGGTTCAGGTACACTCACTTTCAGCACGCAATGACAAAAAGTTTAGCTATTACAGGGCTAACTATTGCTGGGACAAAGTTGCTTCCCTGACAAATTTTCTAGCAAAAGGAAACCGAGAAAGGAAAAGAGTTCATAGTTTTAAATTTCTAAGAACTCATATTTCCGACAACCTTACTTGGTGGGTCCACACTATGGCCACTGCAAAGAAGGCCCAACAGAGCTTGCACTTTCTGAAGCTGCTGAAAAAGAGTGGTCTGGGTGAGAAGTTGCTGGTTACTTTCTACCATTCAACCTTCAAGAGCATTTTGGCATACGGTGTAACAGTGTAGTATGCTGGATAAGAAGATGCTCCAGAGAGCACAAAAAATCATTGCTCTCTTTCTTCTTTGGAAAAGATTGCGAAGATTGTGAAGACCGGACTCCTCTCTAGAGCACTAAAAATCTCCAGACCGTTCTCATCCTGGTCATTCATATTTCGAACTGTTACCATCAGGGAGACGTTATAGGTGTCTTAAAATGAGGACTAATAGACTGAGAAACAGTTTCTTTTCCAAGGCAATAATTGTCTTGAATCAAACGGCGCATTTATGATCTAGTCCTATGTATATAGTGGCATTTTAAACTATTTAACTTACTAAATGTTTTAGATAGGTTTTAGACTAGGTTTTTAATTATTATTATTTTAATTATTTTAATTTTTAAATACTTGTAGTGTGATTGTGATATGGTGTTTGGGGCACTGTGCTAGAGTACCTTTCAAATTTCATTGTATTCGTGGAATGCAATGACAATAAAGGTAAATTCTAATTCTAAATTCTAGATAAGAACTGGCCTGGCTGCATAAAAGCTACATCCCTACGTAGCCAAAAGCAGACTGCTTTTGTGAATGATTAATCCCTTTCACCTTCCTTGCTTTTAATAGAAAAAACTGAACTAAACTCAGAGATCTGTCTAAAGGTCACTGCTCTTTAGATACTGTAGGAGCTAAAACAAGACTTTGCTACTTTCTTCAGCACTGGAAATGATACTGCCATTTCTGCTAAGATCCCTAATAAATGTGAAGTACATTCTGAATTAGCTGGCAATCCAAATAATGATATGGATTCCTGCTCATATACCTCCATTGATCAATCTCACTGCTTTACCAGCCAATCTGCCTAAAATGCACATCCCACTCAAATGAGTCTCTCCATTCTTACTGAATAATACTCTCTTAAGTTTTCTAATAAAGACTATGCACAAATCAAGAACATTCAACCTGATACCTCTTCCCCCAACAAGATGATCTAAAACTCTGCCATCGCATCCAAGTCAAAAGAAAGATGGGTTTTTAGGGGGTATTAATATCCCATTATTACACATTCAAAATGTGTCTATCTTTAAACATCCCTAACTAATGACAGTAGTCTCTAACCCAACTAATTCAGTTAAATTTCTTGTGATAAAAATCTATTTTACACTGAAATAACTATATTAACTGTATTCCTCATAACTCAGGAATCCTAGAATGGAAGGAAAAAGTAATCATTTGAAATTAAAGAAACCATTACTTATTAACATCACTTGTTAATAAATGTATGTGGCTTCTTTGTGGCTGTTCACATTGGGATAAAAAGTTATCACATTTCTTGCAAACTTTCACTAATAAAACTTCTAGAAAAGTTATTAGAACATTACCTGAAAACACTGCTGGAGTTAAATTATTATTCTTGTAGCCTTTTTCTTTCAACCACTTCTTGAGAATTATATATTCATTTTTATAACTCAAATTTACTAAACAGGAAAGAAAATAATCACATATCATATAAAAAAATAAATTTTGTATTAATACATCACTGAACTAGGAGTATCATATAAACTATAAAATTAACTATGGTAAAGGCAATCCAACATCAGTGCAACAAAACGAATACCTAATAGAAATGAGATATGATTTAAGGATAAATAAAATTAAAATAATTTAAATTTTATAGACGCAATCCTGTAGAAATCATTACTAAAAAACCAAAATATGTGCGTCTGTATGTTAGTAAGAGCCTGTTTTGCCTAAATGGTTAAGGTGCTGGCTTAGAAAGCAAGAGACTCTGAATTCTAGACCAGCCTTAGGCATAAAAGCCAACTGGATGGCTTTGGTCTAGTTATGCTCTCTTAGCCCAGCCCAGCCCAGCTCACAGGTTTGTTGTAGGGAAAATAGGAAGAAGGAGTATTATTTATGTTCACTGCCTTATATTAAAGGCAGGATAAAAATCAAATACAAACATACATGTATACATACCGGTACATAAGTAAATAAAATGGTTAATTATATTACCATTACTTGAAGAAAAAGCTGTAGATTGTTTTCTGTGTCTCTTTCGGTAAGTTCGACCTCTGCCTTTCTTCATTTTAAAATTATTTGGAAATTTGTGCAGAAACTGAAAATAGAAAAGCAAACTAAATTCTTAAATCAATTATTTCAATTGCAGAAATGTCATGCCTCATTTTTACAAGTATGTCAGTAAGACACTTGCATATGGTATATTCATATGTGTATACTGTATTTAACACTTGGAAAATCAAAAATGCGAAGGAATAAGAACCAAAATATGTCCAACATAATATTTCGGACAGTCATAAAATGTCAGGCAGACATTAGGTTGCTGGTGAGGATATGTTTCTAGGGAACAACAGTACTCTCAGTCTCCAATATGTCTATGGATCCTCAATCTGTTTGACCACTGAAGGAAGCATTTTGCCAACTTTGGCTTAGTTTGCTGTAAAATAGGGTAAAACCTATGATACTGCAAGTATCTTCTAAACGATTCCTTTAGTCACATCTACCAAGAGTTGCATAGCTCTTGATATTATTAAATGTTATTTGTGGCTTAAACAGCAAGAATTACCGAAAATATAAACTTTTACTTAAAACAAAATATATTGATTCACATTTGGCTAACCACAATTCCAAATGGGCTCAGAGAGGCATTTCACTCAGTAAATCTATGGAGCATTATAATCTCTTTAGGAATAAACCATCCAGAATTTGATAGGAACAATTCTTGAGTATAAGAATTAGGAACGGGCTGCAAGGGCTACGCTACCTTCAACTCTCCCGCAGCCAATTCGCGCTTTAATATCCCCAAACTACAGCCACGTTTTTCCTTTCCGACTTCAACTATCTTGTACTTTCAAACCCAGAAGTCACCAGGCTTTACTCAGGCGGCAAGAAAGCGGAAAAGGCGGTCCTCAGCCAATTGCCGATTAAGAGAAAGCAAGGTGGGCGGGTAAGTAGGTTCCCCATTGGATGAAGAGCTCGCTCCTCTTCTCCTACTCTTCTGGCGAGAACTGCTGCCGCTCTTCACCGCGGCTGAGAAAGGTAGGTAGGGGAGAATTGTGGCTAAATTCTTTTAAAATGCTTTTTCTTCACTCCCTTCCCTTCTCAACCCGCCGCAGGATTTTATTCTTCAACGCGCATTTCTAACTAAATAGATTCTTGCTTTTAAAGAATCCAGTAGTAGGTAAAAGCTTTAAAATCTGATATACCATAATTCTGGTATGTGGTTGGTTTTTCAAAATTTTCTATCATCTGCTCAAGGATTCCGACTGTTTTATTCTTTATATACACCCTTGGTAATATAAGAAATGAATGAAACGGGAGGAGTGTTGTGTATAATTATATAACCTTGCAACCCAGGAGAGTCGAGTCTTCCTTGGTGATTGGGGCGTAGATCGAATTTGCACGCTTTTATAAATTTCCGACCTTCAGGACTTTTTTTATTCTGAATTTCTCGTTGTCTTGTGTGGCTTGAGTTTGACTGGGTAGTGGTTTATAAAACGTGTTTTAATGCTGAACACATTAAATGAGTTAATTTAATTGAACTGCACGATCGCCATGGAAAAAAATCTAGGAGTCGAAAATGACTTGTTAGCATATACTGTGATCAAAATGTTAAGTAATCCTCTCGACAATCCACTGGGTTGAAAGTTCTACTCTATCTAGTCTGCCCTTTAATATTGTTAGTGAAGAATAGTTTTTACTTTAGTTTTTAATTTCACCTTTATTATTTTTACAAATAATTCCAAGTGCTACTTGAGTTATAACTAATACTCCTTCCTCCTCCCCACAATAGCAACCCTGTTAGGTGAGTTGGGTTGAGAGTGTGACTGGCCCAAAGTTACTTAGCTGGCTTTCATATGTAAGCAAACTCACTCACCCCTGGTGCCTTAACCACTAGACCAGACTGGCTCTGTAATTGAAACAAATTCGCTCAGTTTGAATAATAGTCAAGTTTTATATTGTGCACCTAAGCTGTCCTAAAATACATTTGAAACATATTACATTAAAAGTACAGTCCTGATTATTTCTACAGTTGTCCTACACCACACCCCAGATACTACTAGGCTGAGTTTGAATTAGAAGCATGGCATTGAATATTAAAACAATGTTTAAAAACTATTTTAAAATAGCAAATTAAATCACTTAAGATTTTTTAGAAAAACTTCAATTTGTTAAGTGTTTTCTATTGATACATTTTGGCATTTAATCATAGGCAAAATGTCTAGTACAAAAGTAGCTGTGGTAACTGGATCCAACAAAGGCATTGGTCTGGCTATTGTGAGAGCCCTGTGCAAGCAGTTCTCTGGGGATGTGTATTTGACTGCTCGGAACCCTGAACGAGGCAAAGCAGCAGTGACACAACTGTCGGGAGAAGGATTAAAACCACTTTTCCACCAATTGGATATTACTGATCTGGAGAGTATCCAAACTCTCCGTGATTTCCTCAAGGAAAAATATGGAGGATTGGATGTGCTAATCAACAATGCTGGAATTGCTTTCAAAGGTAACCTAAATGTAAATCATTGAATGTTGAAATTGGGTGAACAACAAGGTCAAAGGTTTTGGCTACAACTCTGTAGAAAGTAAAATTGCAACTAATGTTTTTTGCAGGTTTTTCAGGTTTTTTTTCTGTTGGGAAGGTGAATGTGTAGCAAAAATATGCTACACATTTACTATTGGAGTTTATGCATTACAAGTAATAATAAACCATGTGATAGGACAGAAAGACTGAAAAGATGAAACAGATCTCTTCAAAAGAAGAGATGAAAATCAATCAGATTTTCTGGCATTCCCTAGTTTAGTGATATAAGTTACAAATTAAAACTTTAAATCTGTCATTTCAGCTTAAAATGTTTCTGTCCTGTAATTTTATTGGAGAGCAACCATCCCAGATGGGAGATGGGACAAATCAGCCTAGATTTACATAACATAACATAAGAGGGCTTGGTCTGATCCCCTCTTGAATGCCTTAGAGTTTTTCCCAGGCAAAAGCTGTCAGTCTGGGGAGCTTCCTGAACAGGTAGTTCTTGTCTTACAACAGGTCATTTTGTGACCATTCAAAGTTACAACAGCATTGAAAAAAGTTACTTATGACAATTTTTCACACAATTGTTGCAACATTTCCATGGTCAGTGATCAAAATTGAGATGCTTGGCAATTGGTTCATATTTATGAATGTTGCTATGTCCCAAGGTCATGTGATTCCCTTTTGTGACCTTCTGACAAGCAAAGTTAATACGGAAGCCATTTAACTTATCTTACTACTTACAATACTTGCAGCAGTGATTCATTTAACAGCTGGGGAAAAGATCATAAAATGGGGCAAAATTCACTTAAATGTTTCATTTAGCAACAACCACTTGGGGCTCAGTTGTGGTCGTAAGTCGAGGACTATATTATAGGCAGAGAACAATAAAATAGCTAGTATAGATGTAGGTCTGATTATTCATGCCTAACATATATACGGTATCATTTAGTTGTCTTTCAATAGATCTCTATGTATTTAGCTTGGTTTCCATTTTCAACATTAGAATATCTAGCCTGTATTAGTTTATAGGGTCACATGCATATACAGCTTGTGAGTTCCAGTAGATAACTGGCACTTCAATTTCTACCACAATTTGCAGCTAGTCCTATGTCTGCATCTTTTTTCCTTGTCCAACTGGAAGGGTTGTTATTGTACACAAAACAGAAATATTTAAAATTGTATCTTAATATAATAAGAAAATCTGTAAACCATTATTTGAAACTGAATGGTTTAGGAATTTACTAGAGATTATTTTAAACTATAGTTTTATACTCGAATACAAATTACAAATGATGGAAGGTAAAATGCTTCATGGTTCTTTCTTTTTCCAGTTGTGTGAAGAAAAGAGAAAGTGTAAACCAATGTTTGCTTGTTTGTTTGAGTCATAGAGGTTTATACTGTAATTCTGAATCCTGGCTTAATCCTAGTGCAGTATACCTTAAATTAAGATCTGTTCAATTTTAAATATTTCTAGGAATATTTTCTGTTGATTTAAAATATCAGTACATCTTTTTCCTAATTATAATTAAGAGTCATTTTTCATTACAGTATAATATGCATTTTTATCTTGCATGCAGATAAAATAGCTGGTTAGGCTCTCCTAAGTATTCACTTCAATTTTTGCCAGCATCATTCCACTCACGTAATATTTAAACTTTACATCTCTTTGTTATACAATGTTTTCCTATTTTCCTATATATTAAGACTCTTAACTTCTGTTTTCTTCCATTTTGAAAAAAAAAGTTGAAGATACAACCCCATTTGCTGTACAAGCAGAAGTCACAATGAAAACAAACTTTATTGCAACCAGGAATGCTTGCACAGAACTCCTGCCACTATTGAAACCCAATGGTAAGCACACACTGGGGCAGAGTATATTAAAGATTAATCAGGGTTTTTGACAAGTAAAATGCTAAAAAGAAACAATAGCAGAAAAATACATACGCACAACTCTTCCTAAAGCTCAGCTTTTAAATTCAGTAAATGTCCATGTTTAAGTCATTGTGCTTCTAGAAATGTTATAGTTTATATCTCTGATACTAATCTCATTGAAATGAATGGGATTTCCAAATAAATATGTTTAGCTAGTTGATAAATGAAGACACATGAACAGAAAAGAACCTGAGGTGAAGGCTGAGCAAAAACAAAAAACTGTTCAAACCCACTACATGTTTATTCCTGTGAAATAAAATCATAGAAGAAATACAGTATATTCTGCAACAAACTGTAAATCATAATACTCGTAGATCTTTTTGAAATCATTTCTTAAGGAATGTCCTTCAGGTATGGTATGTTGCTACCCAGTACCATTTTTTGAATGGACTTCGAACTATTTTTAATTGGGCTTTTGCTGAATTTTGTTCTGCTTTATAATACTGAATTATTTCTAATCATTTAAATTATTTTATATACATATGACATCTATGTTAGATGATAGAGTTTGCATGCATCTGCCCTACAGAAAAATCTCTAGGATTCATTTCAATGGATATTGAAAATTCCAGTTTATCCTAAGCTTGGGTTGTCAATTTCTGTTTGGAGATATTTTTTTTCCTCCAGTAAATTTTCAAGAAATACATGCTTTAGTTAGCTATCATAGCTTGGTAGAAATAACAGTTACAGGGCAAAACAATCAAGATTGATTGAATTGCTGCTCATTAAAATTGTCTACAAATTAACTACTCCATTTGGAAAGTTCAACTGAGTTTCATTTGCATATAGATGACAACCATTATCAGTCACACACGCACTTACAGCTATAATGAAAATCTTAATTGAGTAATCATAAATATATGCATGTTTACATTTATGTAAGCCTATTTATTCAGCATTATTCATTTTCCAGCATTGAAGAAAGATTCTGTCTATTGAACATTCCAATATTTCAGGATTTTCAGATCCAAAAAGAACACCCACAAGTAAAAAAAGGTGGCCCCACATTGTCTTATCTGTAGGATTCAAAATGGGATGGCAGAGCTAGCTGATTCACTGATAATGGAGAGAATAAACCCTCCTTTGTGGGCAAATATTATATATATGTTACAAAATAGAAAAAAAATAATTCTTATCCTGTTATATATATTTTTTTTTGTCTTGGCATAGGGAGAGTAGTCAATGTATCTAGCATGGTTTCAGTTTCAGCATTGTCCAGATGCAATCAGAATCTACAGCAGAAATTTCAGAGTGACACAATCACCGAAGAGGAGCTAGTGAAACTCATGGAAAAATTTGTGGAAGATACCAAGAAGGGAGTGCATGAGAAGGAAGGGTGGCCAAGTACTGCTTATGGAGTATCCAAAATTGGAGTGACAGTTTTATCAAGAATTCAGGCAAGGCTGTTGAATAAGACAAG